CATATGCAAAAGTAAACTCAAAATGGATCAAAGACCTGAATGTGAGTCATGAAACCATAAGACTCACAGAAGAAAATATAGGCAAAAATCTCTTGAATATAAACATGAGTAACTTTTTCCTGAACACATCTCCTCAGGTAAGGGAAACAAAAGCAAAAATGAACAAATGGGACTACATTAAACTAAAAAGCTTCTGTACAGCAAAGAACACCTTTAGAACAAAAAGGCATCCTACAGTACGGGAGAATAAATTCATAAACAACTCATCTGATAAGAGGTTAACACCCAAAATACATAGGGAGCTCATATACCACAATACCCAAAAAACAAATAACCCAATCAAAAAATGCACTGAGCATCTGAACAGACACATCTCCAAAGAAGAAATACAAACGGCCAACAGGCACGAGAAAAGATGCTCCACATCACGAATCATCAGGGAAATGCAAATTAAAACCACAATGAGATACCACCTTACACTAGTTAGTAGGGCCACTAGTCAAAAGACCACAAATGCTGGCGAGGATGCAGGGAAGAGGGGAACCCTCCTAAACTGTTGGTGGGAATGTCAACTGGTTCAACGGTTCTGGAAAGCAGTATGGAGGTTCCTCAAGAGTGAAAATAAATACTGTTTGACCCAGTAACTCCACTCCTAGGAAGCTACCGAAAGAAAACAAGATCCCTGATTCAAAAAGACATATGCAACCCTCATGTTTATCGCCGCACTGTTTCCAAGATTTGGAAGCAACCTAAGTGTCCACCAGCTTCCTAGGATGAAGATGTAGTACATATAAACAATGGAATATTATTCAGCCATAAAAAGAAAAGAAATTCTGCCATTTGCAACAACATGGACAGATCTAGAGGGTATTATGGTAAGTGAAATAAGCCAGGCGAAGAAAACAAATACCTTGATTTCATTTGTTTGTGGAATATGAAAACAAAGCAGAACAGAAAGAACAAGACAGCATTAGATTCAGCTACTGAGAAGTGACTAATGGATACCATGGGGGATGTGAGTGGGTGGGGAGTAGGGGCACTGTTGAATCACTGTTGATGTACATTTGATGATAAAAAAAATTTGTTTTACATACTGAAATAAACATAATGATGTAAGTAGGTTTAAAGTAAAAGGATAGAAACGACATAGCATGTACACACTAGTTAAGAGAAAGCTGGAGTAGCAGTATTCATATCAGAGAAAGTGGACTTTAAAGCAAGAAAAATTACCAGAAATAAAAGGGTCACTATATAACAATAAAAGGGTCAATTCACTAAGAAGACATAACAATCCTAAATGTGTACGCATCCACCTAATGAAATAGTCTCAAAGTAAATGAAGCAAAAAATAACTTAAAGGAGAAGTAAATCCACAAATACAGTTGGAGACGTCAATTCTCCTCTACTGGTAATCAACAGAACAAGTAGGCAGAAAATCAGCCAGAATATCAAAGAAATGCACAACTATTAGCCTACTGGATTTAACTGACATTTACAGAACATTCTACACAACAGCAGGATATACATTCTTTTCCATGTATACATGGAAAATTTGCCAAAAAGAACGTATCAACCTTAATTAATGCAAAAGAACTGAGACTATACAAACTATGTTCTGTGGCAGTAATGAATTGAATTAGAAATCATTAACAGACAGACAACTGCAAAATACACAAGGACTTGGAAATTAAAACAGTTCTAAATAAGTCATAAATCAAAGACTAAGCCTCAAGAGAAATTGTAAAATATTTTAAACTGAAGGAAAATGAGCAACAGTATCAGAATTTGTGGGGTGCACACTTGTGGAGTCCTTCGTATGGAGGAAAACATGAGCATTAATAAGTGCTTATATTAGAAAAGAAAGGTCTCAAGTCAACAATTCAAATTTCCACTTCAAGAAACTACAAAGGGGCAAAACAAAGGCAAACTTAGAAAGGAAATAACCGAAATTAATGAAATTGAAGTAGGTAAAAAACAGGGAAAAAAATTAATGAAACGAAATTCTGGTTCTCTGAAATAATAAAACTGATAAACCTCTAGCCAAACTGACAAGGAAAAAAAGACAAAAGGCACAAATTACCAATATCAGGAATGAAGGAGTTATTACTACAGCTCCCACAGATATTAAGGGACTATGTCAAAAAACTGTATGCATATAAACTACCAAAACTCACTCAAGAAGAAAAATAACATGAACAGCTCTGTATTAAAAAAATGAAAACCTTAGTTAGAAACCTGAAAATTTTTTCTAAGGAATAATCCTGGAGTTATTTAAAATAGGAACTATTTTATTGGACTCAGAGGAAAAACTCACATATAACTTAGGGTTTTCCTCTTTTAATGTATACTTGCATTCATTCAGTGGCTTTACAATTCAAAACTCTAATTTGTTTGCTATAAAACATACAGATATCCACTGATAGGAATAGAAAAGAATACATACTGTGCTGTATTCAATTCAAACTTTATCAATACTTCTTGATCTCTCATTAATGTGGACACTATGGCCTCTCTTAAAGGATCTGTGCTTATCCAAGCAAATCAAAGATACTTTGTATTTATACCATGTAAATGATTGACTATACAAGACCAAACTACTACTTGAATAAGTATTCAATGACATATAGACTAATGATTAAATAATATAAAGCAGAAACCTCACTTCAAATAACTGAAGTGATCCTTCAAAGTTGTATAAAAATCAAGTATCTGATTTGAATAAAATGCTGAGAAGTGCTAGAGAAGTATATTATATATGAGTTGAATCATATGAAACTGCCAATTATCAACTGGTTTAACCTAGAATAACATAAGCATTCCTTGTTTTATGTATAAGATTCAGTGTTTTCTGATGTACAGTGACAGGGTATGGGGAGGGATAAGGGTGAAATGTAATAACCATATTATTTTTCTTGTGAAACCTTCATAAGAGTGTATGTCAGTACCTTAATAAAAAAAAAGTAAAAACAAAATCATACAAGTGCATTCTCAGGACTAATTTTTTCTATAAGGGATAGATGCTCTCCTGATCTGTCCTTCTACATTTAATCTTAAAATCTTTTTTTCAGTGGTTAGCTGTACTGATCACTTGCAAACTTGAATTTTTTTCTGCTTTTGGTACAATATATAAAACGAGCAGAATTAGCGTGCTATGTCTGTATAAAAAAGAGAAAAAAACCATAACTGTAGGTATATGTCTTCTTTCACCAAATTATAAAATCAGAACTAATAGCTAGTAATTAAACATTTATCATTGTCAATTTAAAAAAAAAAAGAGTCAGTGTTCTCAAGAGTGCTAGTTACTCCTACCAGAATGATATTATAATGAATTACCTTGGATGTTGGGGACTGAAGTTCATTCAATATTTGCCAAATGTACTCTGGAGATTTTTCACCACAAAGGTTATTTGCAAATCTAGGATATGAACATATACTAGGAAAGTACTTTACATGGCTACAGAACGTTTGTTTTACTTTTACTTTTCCAGAGTCTTATTTTTAATTCTTAAAAAAACATAAGTGCTGTTATCTGAAGCATGGATTCACTATAGAATAAGGATTAAGACCCACGAATGCTCAAAATATTGAAGACACTGCAACAAAATTTCTAAGATCAGGTCATTCATTGATCAAAACCCTTCAGCATCTTCCTATGTCCCAGTTTCGAAGTCCTTACTATGTATGACCTATAGTCATTACCTATTACTCTCTTCCCTCTATTCCAACAACCCTGAGAGTCTTGCTGTTCCTCAAACATAAAAATACACTCCTTCCACAGGGCCTTTGATTAAAACTGTTCCCGCTGTTAGGAATGTTTTTCTCAAAGATATCCACATGGCTCACCTCCTCATCTCCTTCAGATGTTTGCTTAAATGTCATCTTCTCAAAATGGTCTTTTCTGACCAACCTATTAAACGTACCTCTACTAAAAGTCACTGTACATTTTTTTTCCTGGTTTATTGTCTGTCTTTCCCCAATAGAATATAAACTACAAGGAAGAGGCCTTTGTTATTTATTGCTATGACCCCGGTCTTGAAAAGGAGCAGGCTCTCAGGAAGAATCTGCTAAAGATGCTGCAAAAAGACTACATATGCTTCCAATTAAAACTTCTGCCACAGATAGTAAAAAAGGCTAAGAAAATAGTTTTGTTTGGAATCATGCACGCTGTGCTACTTAGAATGAAACAACTACCCTTTAGAAGAAAATATGTCAATAAAATACACTAACGAACGAGTGGACTCCCTAAAGACAAAACATTAATTCTAACTGCACGCATGCTGCAAGTCTGTGGGTACTGAATGCTTCGGCTTATCACACGAAACTTTAGCTAAATCATTTCCACACGAACCAAGAAACTCCGCCTAAAAAAGGAAAAATGAAAGCGTTGTTAACCAATTAATGATATACGAAAATTAGGAAATGCACAATATATGAATCCAAGCCTCACAGTACAGAACATAGGAACCGGCGAGTGTTTGCCCCCAAGAAACACCGAGCGAGAAAGTCCAAGATGGACTGCACCCCTTTTCTTGCAGCCAAGCACGGTATCAACAATCAGTCCGAGGTGAAGCGGGCATGCGGTTTGGGAGCGCAAGGCCGGGACTCCGTGCAAACGAGGTAGGGGCGTACGCGGGCCACCCTCCTCTCTAAAGTTTTTTGCTCAAAAGAAAAAAAGGAGTGCTGACTGCTCCTACCGGTTCTCTAGAGGCTTCGGGTACAGCTGATGAGGGCAGACCCCTCCCCGAAGGCAAGTCCAGGCCCCATCACGGCTCCCCAGCCTCCGGCTCACCCGGCTCCCGGTTGATCTCGATATCGAAGTGACACTGCGGCCGGTCCTGCGCCCCCATCGCGACCGAGGCAGGAGCTGGGGCCTACCCCGCGCCACTATCGACTAGCGCCGGCCTATCGCGACGGCACGGCAGGCCAAGCTAGGGTTCCCTCCCGCCTCTGGCCTCCCGGCTCCCAAGTACCGCGCAAACCTATAAGGGTGAGCTCTTCACCTGGTTCGTCTCCGGCCTGAGGAGCCCCCGGTGAGGAGAAAAGAAAGCGCTGCCACAGCCGGCGGAGCCCAACGCCACTAACTGACCACCACCCCCTTGCGGGGGCCGGGCCTTGCAGACCACGCTAAACCCCGCGGGAGTCGGAACAAATACCGCGAGAGAACGGTCTCTCAGCGGGTTGTTAACGGACCCGGACACGAGCACGTGGGCGTGTCTGGGCGCTCTGGAGGAGCTTCCAGCAGCCGGCGCTCCGATACCTGAACTGGTCCTTTTCTGCCCCGCCTCTCTTCCCTGTTACCATTGGAGACAGTCGCCCAATCGGGGAGTCCTGAATGCGCTTGCGCTCTCTATTTCCTCTCGTTCCTCCCGGACGACCATGAGCTTCTGCGAAGTTTCCCGGTACCGTCAGGTTACTCTTTTGTTATCAGCTGCGAACGAACTGTGAAGATTAAGTCATTGAAGTTTAGTAAACCGACAGATCTTTTGGCTTATGTTCAAATCTTTTGTTATATACATATAATTGGAAATATTTTCTCCCAGTTTGGGTCTTGTCTTTCAATTGTTTTGATGGCTTGTGCAGAGCAGTTTTTAATTTGGTGAGTCATTCGATCAGTTTTTTTTCTTTCACAGCTTGTACTTTTCTGTGCTTAGAAATCTCTGCCTACCCCAAGATTCTGAAGATTTTCTCTTATGCTTTCTTCTTGAAGTTTTATATTTATAATCTTACCTTTTCAATGAAGCCAATAATCTATTAGAACTTTTCATTATGGTGTCTGTCAGGTAGAGGTTGACGTTCTTTTTTTCCCCTATAGGGATATACAGTAGTTACACCACCATTTGTTGAGAATGATGCCGGGGTTCTTGTTCACGGAGTCGAAGAATGAACTTCACAAACACTCAAAGTAGGACAGCAAGTGAGGGGGCTCTTATTTAGAGATAAAGTGAGAGCACAGAGCTCCTGGCTCAAGCCAGGAGGGGACAAGAGGGCCCCAGGGTGGTGCGTTGTCTAGGGGATTTATAGGCGGTTGAGAGACAGAGGGCTAGGGCTGCAGACCCGCTAAATGGTCCCCAAATTCTCTTCTTTGAAGAGACACTGAGTTTCTTACCAGTCTGCCAGATTATTCTGCAGAGTTAACTTAATACAAGAAATTTACTCCTTTGATTCTTTCCCAGAATAGCAGCTTCTTGGTCTGGAGCAGATTCCCTCCCAGGATAGCAGCTTCTTGGTCTGGGAGCATTATCAATCAAGACTGCCTGCCCTGCTCCCAAGGCTGGCTGAGTTATTGTCTGTTTTGTTAAGAAACCTGTTTTTTGACTTCTTGGGTTTTAAAATGCAATCTTATCTTTAAGATGGAGTCTTTCCTGTTTTTACTATGTTTGTGACTGGGCCCACTTTCCATATTAATTGCCCAGATTGTAAATTACTTGATTAGGGGCTGGAGGAGGAATAACAGCATCCGGGTAGAGTTAAAGAAAACAAGCTGGGCCTTTTAGCAGGCTAAAGTAAATTTTTAAAAAGCACGATTTAATTGACACAATGAAGATATGGGCTATGCTGATCTCATTTTCTTGTCTGGGAATATTCAAACATTCCAGGCCAAGTTACTCCTGGCTTTTTAGTTTTAACTAATCTCACTGAAGAATGCTTATATTCCTAGTTTGATATTTTACTTTAGAGAAATGTGACTCTGACTTTGCTTAATTATTTAGTACAGAGTTTTGGTAGGGGCCTTTTTCCAGAGGCCCTCACCCTACTCTGACTACACCACAGTTCCTGTCTCAAAAAGACTACCCTTTATCCATTAAATTACCTTGGCTTTATGACCACATATGTATGGTTTTATTTCTGGACACTCTTTTGTTATATTGATCTATGTATCTATTTTTATGCCAGGACAATACTGTTTCTCTCCAGGCCCCAGCAGGGCTCCTCAGCTGGCCTGTTTTGTTTTTTAGTTATTTTTTTTAATTGTAAAATTACATTACATGAAATTATCATTTAACATTTTACGTGTCCATTCAGAGACATTAGACAGTCACAACCATCACCACCATCTATCTACAGAAAATTTTCATCTTGCAAAACTGAACCACTGTACATGTTAAACAGTAACTCAGTCTCTCTTCTACCTAGCTTCTGGCAACCACTCCCTACTTTTCAATTTTTTTTAACTCTCTTGTGTTAAGAACAATTCACATGAGAACTACCATCCTAACAGATTTTAAGTGTATAATATGGTGTTGTTATCTATAGACACAATGTTGTACATATCTCATATAAGTGCAATCATGCGGTGTGTGTCTGTGACCAGCTTATTTCACTTAGCATTATGTTCTCAAGGTTTATCCGTATTGTCACATCTTGCAGGATTTCATTTTCTAAGGCTGAATAATATTCCATTGTATGTATATACCGTATTTTGCTTATCCATTCATCAGTTTTAGCAATTGTTAATAATGGTGCTATGAAGATGGATTTACAAATATCTGTTCAAGATCCTACCTTTGGGTATATACCTGGAAGTGGAGTTACTGGATCATAAGCTAATTCTATTTGTAATTTTTTGAGGAACTGCCATACTAGTTTCCATAGCAACTACAGTATTTTACATTCCCACCAGCAGTGCACAGGATTCCAATTTCTCCACACCAACACTTGTTATTTTCTGATTTTTTTATAATCACCATCCTAATGGATGTGCAGTGGCACACTGTTTTGACTACTATAACTTTATAGTAAATTCAAAATCAGGGTCACTTAGACTATGTAGTTTCTAACCTATTTCTGGAACTGTGCCACCTGTGTAAAGTGCAGTCAGACCTTTGGCACTTACACTCCATCCTGGAAGTGCTATCCCTGTCAGGTTTCTAGTCCCTCCCTAAGAGTACAGTATCTCTTATCAGAGCAACAATCTCCTGGGTTTTACATTTGTAATCTAAGCTGAATTGAGAAGCTAGTGGTCTTGGATCTGATTTGTTTTCTTACAGTGTTACAACTAACCATTCACAGGTTTGAAATGTGTGTACATGCCTATTTGCAGATGGAATGGGTTGGTGGAGCTAACTTTCATACAAAGATTTGTGAAAGGAAAGGATGGGGAGCACTGCCCAGCTTTGTAATTACTGTGCTTTGGGGCAGCCGGCTTCAATCTAAGTAGGCTTTAGATATTAGGAATGAAATATTTAATTTGGGGCATACTTAAAATGCTTTAAATTTCCTGGTATTTATTCTTATCTTGACACTCCAGTACATCTCCTTCCTGCCACTGATTTTGTGATCTGGGACAAATCACTTTGATCTCTTGGATTTCACTTTCTTCATCTATAAAATAAGCAGAATATGTAGTACCTACTAGTTAAGTTCCTTCCTTGCTCAAAATTCTTTTATTCTGTCCTGTGAGTTGAAATTATATTTCAGATGATTTGAAGAGAAGGTATGCTATTTGGTCTGTAGCTAAGATGAAAAAACTGCTGGCACAAGGCAGCCCTACGGCTAGTATCCACCCAAAGGTCTAGTAATCCTCCCTCACCCTCAAGAGTGGTAGAAAATTAGTATCTGAGGAGTTTATAAACTCAGGCTTAATTTGGCTGTGGTTACCATGAAGGAGAACCCTTGGTGGTAGGAATTCTCAGGTAGTGATGCTGGTGGTTAGCCTTTTAGAATGGGGTTACACCAAGCTGGTGGGATTTCAGTGGATAGGACTGTAGCAAAACTGATAGGAGTGCTAGTTAGTAAGGAAACTTAGATGAAATAAGTAATATTCTAGAAAATAGAAATGATCAAAATTGACTCAAAAGAAATAAAAGGCCTGAATAAACCAGTAACCACTGAAGAAATTGAATTAGCAGTCCCTAATCTCCCTCCAAACAATTGTGAAAGACATTTGGACACAGTCAAATGGGAAATTTGATTATGGTCTAGATATTAGGTGAAACCAAAGAAATATATTTAATTTTGTTAGATGTGATAATTAAATTTTGGTTATGTGAGAAAATGTCTTTGGTTTTTTAGAGATGCACAGTGAATATGTACAGATAGAAACACATGATGTCTGTAATTTGTTTTAAGATACTTCATTTAAAGAAAAAAGGAAATCGAATTTTTAATAGGTAAGTGAAACAAATGTGACAAAATCATAATAATTGTTGCATCTAGGTGATGTATATGGGAATCTTTGAGCTACATCCTCTTCTTTTATATACCTTTGAAACTATTCATAATAAAACCACTAAAAACAAACATGTTTTTCCTTCCCCAAAAACACAGGGTCCAGATTGTCTCATTGGCAAGTTTTACCAGACCCTCAAAGATCAATAATCCTTTTCTCAAAGTATTTCAGAAAATAGGAAACAAAAAAAAAAGACCTAACTTATCTTGTGATACCAATACCAATGACAGGGCAAGAAAGTTCTAAACCAATACAGTTCATCCTCAGGCAGGAATCCCTGCTGCACCTCCCCCCAAAAGTAGCTTTTACATTTTTATAACTTAGAAAAGGGAGAAAAGAGGTAAACAAAAGGAACCCAATGGGAAGATACATATACAATCCTACCTTACTTTATTTTTTTTTAATACAAAGGTATCTTAGATCTTAAATGAGAAATTGTGCAGAAAACCATGCAATAGGCCTGAGATTGCTCTCTTTAGAAAGTCCTACTTACAGGGTTGGCCCTTGGGTGGAATATGGGAACGTGACTGGTAATCAGTTTCCTACATTTATAGAAAATATTCATAAAATGAGGGTGCCTAAACATGCCAAGACTATTTGTGCATATCATATGGCTTATGCTGACTACCTGCTTTCCTTCTAGAAATCTGGAATTTTGGTATGTGCTAGGCAGAGGCTGTATAGGTGAACAACCCCCAGGATAAACTTTGGGTACTGAGTCTCTAAGGAATTTCCCTAGTAAACAACATTTCTCACATGTTGTCACAATTTATCTCTGGAAGAATTAAGTTTGTCTTGTGTGACTCCACTGGGGGGAAAAGGGAAGCTTGAACCTGGGTTCCTCCAGGCATCCTCCATGTACTTTTTCCCTTTACTGATTTTACTTTGTATTCTTTTGCTATAATAAATCATAGCTGTGAATACAACTGGTTGCTGAGTCCAGTGAGTCCTCCTAGCCAGCCATCAAACCTAGAGGTAATCTTGTGACCCATGACACCAGAATTTGGTAGCTAAGTCTATACATATCAAAAATATGAAAACACATTTTTAAAATCCTAGATTTCTTATTTTGTGGGAAATGAGTGGACGATTTCGTGGGGTACAGAAAAATGTGTATTTTGATAGAATAATATTCTCATGATACTAAATCAAGATCGGATGGGCTTTCTCCATATGGGCCAGGAGACATAGCCACAACAGCTTCAAGCATATATCCTTATCATCTGGCAGTCTGAAGGGAAAACATTTTTCCTGGCAGCCCCAGTGAGAAAAATCCTGGAGAGAGATGCTGACTGGCTTAATGAGGTTCATATGCCCATCAGTGTTGATGGCCATGCTAATTGACAGATACAATGATTGATCACCTGAGTATCCAGTAACCAGGAGAGAAGCTTGGGGGTATGGTAGTACAGAGATCCCCTGAGGTAACTGCTGGGAACTAAGTCACTTGGGGATACTACATCCATCTTTCGGCCTTTTAAGTAAGTGGCTTTTTTGCCACTAGCTTATTTTAAAGCATGGTTGTATTTTCTCAAACATACGCTGCCTCATCCTCTTTAAAGGGGAGCTTGGATCCTATCAAAATCATATGGAAAACCCACTGCTATGAACACTTCTTTTCAGGTAGAATCCTTACCCATTTTATATTAATCCTACTTATTTGCTTGTTTCATCCTCCATGCTTTCAGTCCTTGGCTCTGACACTTTCCCTAGACACTAATTTTTGCAAGTAGATTGGGTTTTGATTTAAACTTTTTTTCTGCCCTAGTGCTGATTTAAGCTATTTTGCTGAGCCAGTCCATCTGGGTCTACCAACCAAGTGTAAGGTATTAGACAACTGCTATTTTGGTTGTTCCCCTCAGAAGACTTCAGAGACAATGGTTTGAATGCAAGTTGCTTACTTGGAAAGTGATCCCAGGAAACTCCATTCTGGGAATGGAGAACTGAAACAGGAAGGTGACCAATAAAGTATGTGCTATTAAGCCAGCGGCCACAATGAGGAATTAGAGCTTAATCCCGCTGGGGAAGTCTGGCAACAAACACAGAAGAAACACCTCAGAATTGTCTCCATGCCGAGGTGAAGGACCTGGGGTATTAATACTCCATCTCCTGGGAGGGAGGTTAAGGGGTGGATGAAATAGGTGAAGGGGGAAAAAATTAGAATGTTTGATATCTTCGACTGAGAGATGGTTATATAGGTGCATGTATATGTTAAAATTAATCAGGATGTACACAAGATTTGTGCATCTTGTCAATATAAAAAAATTTTTAATGTCTTCAATGAGAAAAGAAATACTCCTCCTGAGAATCGTTAGTGGAGAGTTGATCCCAGGGGTAACGATAATCCGCTGGTTCTTCTGACCCGCTACACCTGGACAAAGCATCTTTAAGTTTCAAGAAAAGATCTTCAGGAATAGAGATACAGATATTGACTGCTGGGAGTCAGTTGGAGCTCAATTAAAGGAATAAAGGTCAGTGAAATTGCAGTAAAGTTTAAGGAATGAAAGTGGGATTTCTGGCACTTCTGCAATGACTGGCAGTTTTTTGTTTGTGAACAAGCATGCTCAGGAATTGGAGTTTTGGTATGGTATGTGAGAAGCACGTGATAATTTCCATAAGGACTCCCTGCAGCCTCAACATCTGGGCAATATCTCAGGCATCTGTGATCCTGCATGGTGCCCTGGTCCATTGCTTGGTGGGGGTCTTTTTTATCTTGCTAGGCTTATTGGGAGCTTCCTGAAAATAGGGCCCTCCCCCTCTAACTTCCTCACTGCAGAGCCCAGCACAAAGCCTGTCGCATTACAATTGAATGGCGACCACATTGTCCTCTGTAAGTGGACTCGAGTTAAAAACAGGTAGAACGAAGGGTCTGTGTATAGCTCCTTCTGCCATCACTGCCAGTTCTCTTGATAGTTGCATGTCTATCTACTGTTACTCATATTTCAGCTGCAATGCTACCTCTTTGGGTCACCCCTGACTTCACGAAGTACCACCCCAACAGTCTTTGGCACAGTACCCTGTTGTGATTCTCTGCAGAGCACTTATTACCATGTGCAGCTTTTCTTGATTATTTATACTTTATTGTCTGTCTCCCTCATAAATTGACAGGTTACCTATACCATATTATCTTTTGTATTTATATAAGAATAAAGGTTCCATGACAGCAGGGACATTGTGTGGCTTCCTCACTGCAGTACACACAGCATATACTGGTTGTTCAGTATTTCTGGAGTGAATGAATTTATCACAAACAGAAGTGGAAACAACTTCCCCTTGGATCGTCAGCTATTGTTAAAGAGGAAGGAAGGAAAGGTCCTAGAGACTGAAGAGAACATCTACTATGAGAGCTATCTGTGGGATTTTCATTGGGGACAGAGGTGACAGATAATTAACTTCTTAAAATTGCTTTTATTAACATGGAATTGAATCAAACAATATATGTGTGCTGTAGAGTAACAAAGATACTAAGTACCTAGCTTAAGAAATATACTCAGATCATCTTCAGTAATGAAGGTTTATTGCAAAGGTTCAGGGGCACATGAGATAGCAGTGATCATTTCCTTCCTAGCCATATCATTACTTGGAGTCCCCAAAGGTCAGACTGGGATGTCCAGAAGCCTTATGAAGAGGTAGAAAATAGCTTAAATTTTGTAGAATAAACTTGATCTCAAATTATTTGCTGTCTTTGTTTTAGCACCATATTCTCATCCCAGGAGAATGTGATGCTTAGAGAGGTCACCACAGTTGCGAATCCTGGGAAGCTGGCTCAGAAACCCAAAAGAACAGGTTCAGACCTTGTATAGGCTATTGGGAGATCAGCTTGACCCCGAGTTGAAAAAGGGCTGACAGGCCAAGTGGAGTTTAAGTCTTGGTTCTCTGAGGAAAGCATGGTTAACAGAGTCTGGTCTAGTTTGTTCTTTGCCTTTTTCAATTCCTCTTTCATTATATTGAGTTCTGGGTCTTTAAAGAGGGATGGCAGGATCTTCAGGCTGTCACTGAGGCAAATTGGTAGATTTGGGCTGGGGCACATTCAATGACAGCTAGTAGGCTAGCATCTGCTTCTCCAGAGTCTCTCTCCAGAAAGGGGCCCACTGGAATGTAGGGTAAACTGGCTGAAGCAGCCTTGGCTGTTCTCAGAGGCTCCTGGTCGGCCCAGATTCAGCCCTCTGCATGCGGACTGACATATCGGCCCAAGAGAAACCAAATAAATCTCCAGAAACCATGCCTAAAGAAATATAGGCATAGGACTTACTAAACAAAGACTCCAAAACAACTTTTCTAACTCTGAGAACTAAATGAAACATAAACAAAGAACAAAGGAAATCAGAAACTCAATATAAGAACAAACTGAGAATATCAACAAAGAGGTAGAAATTATTTTAAAAAAACAGAAACTGTGGACTTGAAAAATACAATAACTGAATTGAAAAAGCACCACAGGTGTTCATCAGAACAAACAGAAGAAAAGAGCCAACAAATCTGAAGGCAGATCTGAAGAACAAAAAGAAAAATGGTGAAGAAAAATGAATATAGCCTAAGGGATCAATGGGACTCACCAAATAGGTGCATTATGGGTATTCCTAAAGGAGACAGAGAAAAGGATGGAGGTTCTTTGAATAATGACTGAAATAATAACATCATAAATTTGAGGAATGACATGAGTAAACAAAAGAAGCTCAACAAACTCTAGATAGGATACACCTAAAGAGAGACCCACACCAAGACATATTATCAAACTGTCAAAAGTCAAAGACAAGGGAATCTTTAAAGTAGCAAGAAAAAATTGACTTGTAATATATAGGGGATCTCCAGTAAAATTTTCAGTAGGTTTCTCAACAGAAACCTTACAGGCCAGAAGGCATTGGGATGATATATTTAAAGCACCAAAATAAAAAATCATCAAATGAGAATTCTATATCAGGTAAAACTGTCCTTCAAAAATAAGAGGAATTAAGACATTCCCAGAAACACAGAAGCTGAGGGAGTTATTACCAGTAGACATGCCCTGGAAGAAATGCTAAAGAGAGACTTTCAAGTTCAAATGAAAGAACTCTTAACAGTAACTGAAAGCCATATGAAAATATAAATTTTTCAGTACAGGCAAGTACATGCACAAATACAAAAAAGCACTATTATTGTAATTTTGGTTTATAATTCTATTTTTTATTTTCTACATGATTTTAAAGAGAAATTACAAATCTGTGTTAATGGATACATGACATATAATGATATAATTTGTGACATCAGTAGTATGAAAGGAGGGGACAGAGCTGTGAAGTAGGTTTTTTTTATATAATTGAAATTAAGTTGGTATCAATTTAAGATTGATTGTTATAACTTTGGGGTATTATATTTAATCTTCATGGTAACCACAAAGAAAATATCTATAGACTACATACAGAAGGAAATGAGAAAGGAATCAAAATGTGTCTTTTAAAAATTACATAACGCCAAAGGAAGGCAGTAATGGAGGAAATGAGGGACCAAATAGTTATAAGACATACAGAAAACAAAATGGCAAATTCCATTTTATTTGGATTAAACTCCCAATCAAAAGACATAGATTGGCAGAATGTATTAAAAAATAAAAAAACAGTATCCCAACTATATACTGCCTGTAAAACATTCACATTAGATCTGAGAACACGCAGAGGTTAAAAGAGAAAGGATGGACAGCGATATTCTGTACAAATAGTAACCAAAAGAAAACAGGAATGGTTATTCTAATATAAGAAAAAATAGACTTTAAGTTGAAAACTGTTATAAGAGATGGAGGATATTATACAATGAGAAAAGAATAAATTTGCCAAAAAGCTTTAACAATTATAATGCACCAAACCTATGAGCTCCAAAATATATAAAGTGAGTATTGACATAATTGAAAAGAGTAATAGACAGATGTACAATAGTAGTAGAGGCTTTAATGCCCTATGTTTGATAATGGATAGACCATTCAGTCAGAAGATCAGTAAAGAGAAGACTTGAACAGTGCTATAGACAAATTGGACCTAGCAGACATATACAAAACTCCTTTCTAGCAATAGCAAAATATACTTTTTTTTTCAAGTGCACATAGAATATTCTCCATGGTAGACCATGCATTAGGCCAGAGAACATGTTAATAAATTCTAAAAGATTGAAATTGTACAATTTCTTCTCCAGTCACAATAGAGTGAAACTAGAAATCAACAGCAGAATAAATAGGAAAACTCACAGATATGTTGAAATTAAAGAACACACTCTTAAGCTACCAATGGGTCAGAAAAGAAATCACAAGGAGAAAATGAAAATAAAAACACACCGTGCCATAGCCTATGCAATGCAGTGAAATCAGTGCTAAAAGAGAAATTTCTTTCTGTAAATGCATACATTAAAAAAGAAGGGTCTCAAATCAATCTAACCTTATACCTTAGGGAACTAGAAAAAGAAGAACTAAACTCAAAGCTAGCAAAAGGAAGGAAATAAAAGATTAAAGGATAGATAAATGAAATACAGGCTAAAAAACAACAGGAAAAAGATAATGAAACCAAGAGTTATTCTTTCAAACAGATCAAACTTGACAAATATTTAGATTAACTAAGAAGAAAAGGAGACTGAAATAACTACAATCAGAAGGAAAAGGAGGACATTACTGCTGGTTTTACAGAAACAAAAAAGGATTATTAAACAGTACTATAAACAAATATACATGAAAAATTGGATAACTAGATGAAATGGATAAATTCTGAGAAATATATAGCCTACCAAGACTGATTCATGAAGAAATAGAAAATATGAATAGTAGACCTATAACTAGAAAGAAGATTGAATCAGTAATAAAAAAATGCCAAAAATAAAATACCAGGATCAGATGAATTCATTGGTGAGTTCTACCAAACATTTAAAGAAGAATTAATACCAATCCTTTTCAAACTCTTCCAAAAAATTAAAGATGTAGGAGCACTACCTAACTCATTCTGTAAGGCCAGCAGTGCCCTGATACCAAAGCCAAGCAAAGACACTGTAAGAAAAGAAACTACTAACCAAAATTCCTAATGACTATTGATGCAGAAATCCTCAGCAAAATATTAGCAAACCAAATTCAACAGCATATTATGGTTTATATACCATAACCAAGTGGGATTTATCCTGGAATGCAAGGATGGCAAATGATGCAGGAAAAGCATTTGACAAAATTCAACCCCCTTTCATGATAGCAGACTAGGGATAGAAGGAAACTACCTCAACATGATAAAATGCATTTGTGAAAAACCTGCAGATAACATCATAATCAGTGTTGAAAGACTGAATGCTTTCCTTTAGGATCAGGAGCAAAAGAAAGATGCCTACTTTCACCACTTGTGTTCAGAATAGTACTGGAAGTCCTAGCCAGAACAGTTAGGTAAGAAAAAGAAATAAAAGAATTCCAGATTAGAAAGGAAGAAGTAAAATTATCTTTGTTCACAGATGGCATGATCTTATATGTAGAAAA